AATGTTATCTAATTAAACACAACTTTTTGTCATCAAAAAATTATTTAATTATGTTGCTACTAGATTCTTAAAAAGAAGAAAAGAGTTTCACACGTATTTGTATTTATATAAATCAGATAAGCTATGTATTTATCACAGAAACTAAAAAAAAAAATTGTTTGCAGAGTGCATGTGTTCATATAATAGACATAATATACATAGACTTCGTATACAGCCAGAAAAGTGAAGCCAAAATGTATAGCCCCTTTGTTCTCTGTTTCTTTCTGCACAAAGTGTACAATAAGATTTAAGTAAAACTTTTGTTTGCCAGTCCAATCGGGATGCTGTTGCGCTCTATAATATTATGGAAATGAGAAATTGATGCATGCGCAACAAAAAAGTAACAAAATAGGGAGAAAATTATAGTCTCTCTATTCTCATTCTCTTTCTAGATGTTGGCTTCATTCAATTAGACGATAGAACATGTAGAACGGAGTCCATGTATACTATGTCTATGGTTCATACCAAGATAAAAATGTTTTTTGATGTTTTTGCATTCGTGAAAAAGGATATTTTCTTTCAATATCGTAATGAAAATATTAGCCCGTTGCTATTTACGACTTAAATGTAAGACTAGTATATGTGTTAGCTTTGTATTTTTACAATACACTTAACGCCAAATATACGTCCATGCCTCTGTTTTTCAACATCCTTATAAAATAATTATTGATGCTTATTATTTAATTACAATTTTATTTGTATAACTTAATTGTATTATTTAATAATTATTATTAATATAAGAGAGCATAGAATCAATTATATTTAGCATAAAATGTAGAGCAAAAATATATACTATAACATTTCTTATCGTACAGACGTTATGTATAATTAATAATTCCTAAATATCTTTATTATTTCTTATCTTACTTAAATTATAAGATTATCGATCTTTCCTTTTACAAACACATAAATAGGATCTCTCTTCCGTACCATTATTATACAAATGATACTTTTACTATCTGCTAATTAGCAAATTAATAAATTCGATAAACATAAAGAGTGATTATTCAAAATATCTAATGAAGATATATCATCCAAAAGTTTATATCACTATAAATTATATCAATGAAAGATTTGAGTTACTATTGGATGCAATACATTGGCACATAATATTAATTTGAAATGCAAAGTATACATATATACACACCACACACATATACAGGGTACTTTAAAAGGTAAGATCAACCAACTAGAAGGTGAAAAAGAAACTTTAGTAGAATACATAATGCACTTTTTTGTATTCGATATTGTTTACAGTATATAGTTACTGTATACAATAAATACAGCGTTTTATATGGGTGTACAGAAAGTGTTGAAATTTCTTAATTTGAAAAATATGCATTTTCGAAAAAAAATGTTCCATACAAAAGTTATAGAATTTTAAGTATACATATTATATAGTAAAATTAGTGTGATCTTGAATAGCGTTGTCAAAGTCACATAAGGATAATCTTGAAATTTTTATATATAAACCTAAACCACCATTTTTATTGCATATTTTTGTAGTTTATCTCGAGATAGTTTTGGAAAGCTCTCGAAGTAAGTTATAAGAATATATAATAAAAATTCGAGGTTTGCATTTAAAAATTTCGAAGATTTCAAAAAATCTTGACAACGTTATTTAAAGTCATAATTTTACTACGTAATGCGTTACTTAAAATCTTGCAACTTTTGTATGCAATATTTTTTTCGTGTTTTTCGAAATATTAAGAAATTTCAATACTTTCTGTACACCTGTATAAAGCGCTATATTTACTATATCATTATATAAACCAAATACAAAAAATGTTTATATACATTATATTCAAGCTCTTCTTTCACCTCTTAGTTAGTTGACCTTATTTTTCGAGACATTCTGTATATATACTATATAATTTATATTTATATAATTAAATATAGTTTAATAAGAGGATAATAAGCGTATCATTTACCGTCTTAGTATATGAGGTAACACATTTTATATGTTAAAATAATGACATCAAAATACTTTAACCACTTAAGGGGGTATTTTATTTTTTTGGGTTAAAAAAATCGATTTTTTTTTTATTTATATATCTTAAAAGTCCGAAGCCTTGAGAATACATCCCTGGTAAAAATTTTTTAATAGAAATTTTTTAATTTTGCTGAAAATTTTTCTGAAAAATTCTGATAAAATCAAGAAATTGGGACACTTTTAGAAAAATTCAGCGAAAGTCATACTTCATAAAAATGAAAATCTATTAATTTCTCTGAAATTTTCTTCTTTCATAAAAATGCAGAGAAAGTTAGGAAATTAGTTGTACTTCATAGAAATGAAAAAAACTGAATTTCTCTGAATTTGTGAAATTCTCTGAAAATTTATGAAATTTTCTGAAAATTTATGAATTTTTTTTATTTTTTCAAGGAAAATAATTTGTTTCATTCTTATATGTCGGAGGAGGCAAGTAAATTTTTTCAGGAAAAATTCGGATTTTTTAGAAAAAGTAAGATTTTTTCACTAAAAATAAAAATTTTTCAGAGAAACCTTACATAACTATTCCAATGAAAATCTCTGAGCTTCACTAAAAAACAGAATTTTCAGGAAAAGTTTCAGGGAAAGAATTTTCAGAAATTTTCGAACTTTTTCATTAAAAAAACTGAAAAAGTCTACTTAAAATTCTACAAAAAACTGAAAAATCCTTATTTTCTCTGAATAGCCCAATTTTCAGTGAAATTTTGAAATTTTTATTAAAACATTTTTACCAAGGACTCGTAAAGTTCTAAATATAGATTCGAGTATTTGTCGGAGTTACAGGCTGTAAACTAATACTGCAATTCTAGACAAAATCGTAAAACTCGTAACTTGTTCTCATAAGAACTTATGAGTAGATCTGCAATTCTATGCGGACCGTATGTCATACGATAACTCGAAAATATTTACGATTTCTCGTAAATCTTACGACTAACTAGAAGTTGTCAATAAAGTTACGGTTTGTGAATTTTACCATTTTACATTACGATTGATTTGTAAACTACGACTTTACGATTCACTCGTATATTTGCTTAGAATTGCAGCATAAAGCGACGCGCTGGTATGAAGGGAGTTACTCGACCGATTTACGATCAGATTCTCAGAAATTTTCTTTTGTCAGATTTAATAAAACAATTGGTCTTTGACTTTGTCAATTTGACTTTGGTTATTTAAAAACAACAAGAGCTTTAATATTGCAATGTCGCAATTCACTGTAAAACATATTTTTTCTACTTAAAAAATTAGAAACTGCTGCTTTTTTAAAAATACATGTTAACGGTTAACGAAGAATTTACACTCTTATTAAAAACCATGAAAGTATTGAGAATAAAAATTAACCTCTAAGCCAAAATTTTCGGCAATCAGTGACGCCGAACGACTGAAAATTGCCGAGCATCAAGATTCATATAAGTCACGGGAGATTAAAATGGCTTATAAAGACGAAAAGATTGCTAAAATTTGTTCGAAAAAATAAAATAATAAAATGATTGGAAAAGATTGCGTTGAAGACAATATTTACAATAGTTTTCTTTTTTTAAATGTTTGAGAGGTTGCAATTTTCTCAATTTTTAATTTTTAATATTCAATGAATATTATTTAATTTTTAATATTATTTTTAATATTATTTTTGGTTCAACTAAAATATTATTAATCTATAATATTATTTTTGGTTTAACTGAAATATGTACAAACTCACATAAATTAAGAAAATTTCTTCTGTTTATATACTTCACATTAATCAGTACCTCTCAATTATTTTCGTAAAGGAGAGGTGTACTTATTGCAGTCCCCCCTTTAATGTCATCAACATATAATAGTTTGCGATAACTAAAAATATTATTGCAATCTATAAAACTCAATAAACATTTATAAAAAAAGTGGCATCTGTCTTAATTGCTCTAAAATTTTTCCTTACATAAATTTTTAAAAAGATATTTTTCTGATTTGACAAAATAGAATACCCCCTTAAAGCAAGATATGTATTGCTTATGTAATAGTAAATCGCACGTAGCATATAAGATTTCTTAAGAATGTGTGATATGTACCGTGCGATATTCTAATCATAATAGTTATTTTCATTGATACACAATTACTTAAAATTTTAACTAATATGTATATACTTCCCTTCAATCTAATATACGACTATGTTTAATTTAATCACAGTACACTTAACAAAATTATTTTAAGCTAAATAATATTCTTCGGCACGGTTGACTATGTTGCCTTTGATTGTAATGTTTTGATGTATGGCATCCCGTTGTTTTATTAGAAACGCATTGTCAGTATAATTGTGATCTATTCTTTACAATAACAATACTTGCGCAAGTGAAATAACGAATTTTCCACGCATTTCGCTTGAGACCCATACATATTAATTCTGCTGATGTCAGAAATCTATGACAAAGTTATCACATATCACACGTTTGTTATAAATTGTTGCTGTTAAGTCGGTTTGAACTTACCTTCGTATGGAATATATTTTTCATAAGATCATGAGTGATGCTAACTTCGAATAATGCTTTACCCGGTACAGTTCTCACTTTTAATTGGTATATCTCCGTTGTCACTTTGGTTTTGGCACTGAAATCACCTATGAAACCATCTTGGTCTCCTGATTTTCGAAAATCTAGCAAACCTGAAATATCACATTAGATATTAATTTTTCCTCGGTGAATAATCATAATGCGCTTTCCTCACACGCTACGTATACTATCTACCTTTAGTAGGTATGAGCTTGGCAGCCCATAGAATCTCATCCAAGTGTAATATCTCACATATGTCGTGATGATCTATGGTGTAATCATTAAGAAATTGGACGAAATAGTTGGCAGCAGCGATAATATTTGTATTATCGATAGAAATTTCTTGCCACCCGAGACAAGCACACCAGTGGGGCTCAATAAATGCATCTGCACATGTTCTATCTAGAGGTATCTGAAATAGATTGCAGTAATTTAATTATTAAGAAAAAATGTTCTGTTGTACAATTATATTTACATTGTATTTACATCATTAATGTAATGTATGAATTTCAATGTTTCATTCGCAAGTTGAAAAAAAGATAGAAGTTTACTCTTTGTCCATATTTTATAGAGTTGCCCAGATAAACATATTTTGGCATATTGTCTGTTTAGTGACTAGTACAAATACATATGACAGATATATCCTTATGCAACAAGAATTTTATCAGCATGTAAAAGAAGATATCTGATGCCATGAAAATTGTTGCTTATTTTGCTAGGAAAACACAATTTGGAATTATTGCAGTAATAAGAAATATTCTAGTTAAATTATGAAGTAATAAGTATTTCATAAAAAAAAATATTTTAGATACATTGCGCTGTTGCAATAGCATCATGAAATATATATTAAATATTTACATGTCCTGTGCTCGACATTCCTCACTATCTTGATACTTTCGCGAAATTATTTAGATAATTTTGCGGTAAGTAAACGAGTAAGCTTAGTAAGCGAGTTGGGACCATAGTGGGGATAACACGATGACGCGGCACTTAGCTTATTAGTATTCTTTAGTGTTCACTTAGTACACGCGACATGCTTTTAATCGTTGTTATTTTCGCAAGAAAATTCTCGATCATATCGGACTTTTTGACAAATATTTGAAACGAGACTTGATAATTAAATAATAAAAAGAATATAAACGTATTTCTGCGATAATCTCACTCGTATAATCGTGATATTTTTTTCTCGATTTTTATGCAGTCATAATTGCGTAAAATGCTGTCAATAACTGCATCGTAATTGCGAATAAACATCACTTAATCTATTCTATTTGCTCAACGTGTTGTATACGTATTCAATTACATATGCATTATCTAATAGTAATATTCTCACATGCATGTAAAATAGTCATACTATTTTCATTGGTGCTTGTTTAATCTCTCCAATACTTTACTATCTTAGTTGACGCGTGTTGTTAGACAGTTTTGAGTGCATGAATCATTCGAAACATCATAATAAGTACGTACATAAAACACATAGATAACAGTTATCATAACACATAATAACATACACAGTGTTGCTCCACGTATGTTATTCTTTTACATTAGAGATGTTTACGTCAGTTTTTCTCAAACTAGCGTCGAAACATCGATAATTTCTGTGTTGTGAAGCATCAAGAAATAATGAGCTTTGCGCGAGTGGGTCTTCACCTTGTCGAATAAACTGATGGCTCTTTGACGACGGTCTCCATCCTTCGGTGTGCCAAAGTTAAGTATATTTTCCAATGTTTTGTGCACATCAAACGGCGACGTTAAGTATTGCGTGTTATATACGAAGTTTGCGTATGCTTGTGGGTGAACTTGTTTAAACCAAGGTGGAAAGATAAAAGAGAAAAACGGGAGTCTTTCCTCTTGTTTGCCTTGTAAAGTGTTGCGAATCTCCGCAAATCTGTAGATTGAAAATGGCACAATTAGTCTCGTATCTTAAAAGAAAAAGAGTTAATGTCCACTTTTTTAGTTTTCAATTATAAAAGTCATAGAATATCGTAGTAAAATCGATACTTCTCTATGTGATATATATTATATTAACAGTTAATTAATATTTTATTAGTTAAGAAACAAAATTTGTGGTTGAACTTGGAAGATTTTCAAGTTTTTAAGTATTTGTTTGTATAAATTTTAAGAATTCTACAATTTAAAACTAAAAAAGTGGACATTCGCCCTTTCCCTACTAAGATGTGCAGTTACGTGGTCAAATCAGTAAAAGTATAAAACATAAATATTATCCACATGTAAAATATATTCAGACCTGTGTCCATGATCACTCATCAAAATTAAAATTGTATTGTTTAAATGTCCAAAATCGTAAAGATCTTTCACCCAAGAATACAGGTCGTCATCTACCACTCCAATATCATTGTAAGAATCATGAGACAATTCTCCATGAAATCCAAATACGAATTTCGGTTGCTTTTTATATGCATTGAAAATTGTTTTTATATAATTCATCATCACCTATATAAATACAGACGATGTAAAAATTATATATAACATCTATATGTTAAAATTTATAAAAGTTGCGAACAAAATACACAATTTCGAGAAACGATCATTCTCTTCAGTAAAATTATATTATATTTTAGTATAACAAAACTAAGATTTTCAAATACTATCATTAAGTTTGACTAATATTATTTATTATTTAACCAAGTTTTATTACTTTCTCGTTTCATGTTATTAGTAAATTTTTGTCATTTTTTAATACATACCATATGACGTGGAGTGCCAGCTATACAGAATTTCTTGTACGTTTTGAAGTACGAGGAAGCTGCTAGATAATACGTGCGCATATAGTGATGAGTAGGTTGCTCATGAAATCCTTTCAAGCGATACGTGAATGTTCCGATATGCGGTACATCTTCCATAAAACCTGTTATGTATCCGTACTCCTTATATTTGTCCCATATCATGGGATAAACGTTGACGTAATTCGCTTTGTGACCCATTCGTTTCCGCGTTTCCGGTAATTCAAGCTCGATCTTGCCGGTTAGAATCGGAATGAGCGCTTGCGGAGTGCCGTCGCCTACGATATTGTATCCTTCTAGCACAAGAGCATCCAGCTGGTGTTTTATGAAACGATAAGTTTTGGGTAGTTTGCGAATAAATGTATTCCTGGATAATGAATCGAAGCCGAACATGAGTACGTTCAATTTCAGACCAGTATCCGGTACATTGCCCCAATTATGCTGTTTTCTGGCGCGTAGGTCGTATTTCACTCCAGCAAGCATACTGTGCCACCTAAACATATTCATCATCAGCAAAATGACTGTGAAAATACATATAGCTAATGCATAAGCAAATCAACTAACACATCTCCTTTCTTTGATTTGCATCTGACTTCAGCAAAGTCACTATCTCTAAGATTGTAAAAATCGTCAGCCTCTATACCCTCCGATAGTTTTGTAGTGTAGTCATCTGTTCTAATAATTTCTGAAACAATACAGTAATATTAAATAATATAGTAATAGATAAAAATAATATCACAAGTAATCTAGATATTATTATAACATACCACTGAAAATACACGTTATTTGTCCATACTTTTTTCGTGCTTTATTAGTAATAATAAGTTTTGAACCTTCTACAGCAACCCAATCTTCTGACCCACATGATAAAGGTGATACGTCGTGTATAAACTTCATTATTTCTGGATTAGATACATTTAACTGGGGTAACTTGCAAGCAACGACACCTTCTCTGTACAAATGTATTAATAGCAAGTAATGAATAAATAAATGAAAATAATAGCAAATAATGAACAAAATGAACAATAGTTTAAATTAATAAATTAATGGATTTAAAAGTATCAATAAAAAGTATCATGATATTTACATCTTATTGTTGTGCTATTCTTGATAAAAATAAATAAATAAAACAAAAATTATATTATATACATACCCTGCATAAGGCTGTTCTGATTCTTTGATTAATTGTGATATGTGCATCCTAAAATTAACAAAAATTTTAAAACATAAAATGTCAATTTGATATTAGAAGAGACATTGAAAGATTACTCACAATTTCTCCAGGTTTGTAAGATCAGAATCATTGAATCCCATCTCTATTCTTATTATTTGAATGATGCAAAATAATAATACTACTGATAGTGCTGCTATAATGCAACGACGAAAATGACACGACGTGACCCTCATATTTATTTAATTTATTCCTACAAAGACCAAACATGCTGTCATAAGTTTAATATTAAATAATATTTAATTCAAAATATATTGTATATTTATATATAATAGATAATATCATATAATAATTTATTATATTCATTACACAAGATATATACTAACCTTTCACACTGCACAAATTTTTATTTGACAAATCACTTGTTCAAGAATATGAATAATATAATTTCGTTCTTTTTTTAAAATAGCAAAAGAAGGATCTTAAATGTTAAATTGTGTCAATGTAGCATAGTTTCACATTGATCTCATTTGTTAACTGAAAGGAGTAAGACATAGTAGAGTTAATTTACTAGTGTTATGAAAGTCAATGAGCTTATTTAAAATTAGAAATATATTTTCTCTTACGTATTTAAGCATGCGACTGGCATATTAGGAAATATGATTTCAATACATGTAACTTATACTGTATGAGCATGGCATGTTATATGATACATATGTTTCTGCTTTTAACTTATAATCTGGATGATAATGGTGTGAAGCTGGTATATGTAACATAGCAAGTATCACAGATTTAAATATTGAAAATATTCTCCTTCTGATGATATTAAGCCATCATGCAAGGTATTATCTTTGTTTGCACTAAAAACATAAAAACAAATTTTATCACAATATTTTTAATCCATCAGAGCAAAGAACATTGTTTGACTGAAAAATCAGACTTATAAGTTTTGCTTGTATTGTTATGTGAGAAATTCGATAGTTGAAGGCACTGCATACACAAATAGAATACCGATTCGACAGAAAAGACGTAAAGTAACAAATACTGTCTGCATAAATATGATTTCGCAAAGGCAAGTAAAATTTTGACTCGGTCAATTTCGATACTGGTATTTATTCCAATTATCCTCCATTGAGAAATCTGATAAAAAATGACTGACGAATGATTGTGTATGTACACATATGCATATATATATAATACATACGTATTATGCTCTTGTTGAGATGCTTGAGTATAGGAATTTTCCTGAAATAATGCTACATCACACGTAAGTGAGATACATTTGTCAAGTATGTCTCGATTTGTTCGAGTCGATACCGGGCCAATATCATAGTTGTGAAAATCTTAATCGCGGGACGATTGACACTTCATTCACTATCGGCTCGTTCTGACGAACGCAACGCGATGTTTCTTTATGTCGTTTAAATTGAAGATCGAAAGCACTTCACCCCGGTGGCATGTCATGAAACTTGCTTAGCCGCGCGTACAAGCATGCAAACAGGACACACGTTTCGCATGCTCATTCCTCACTCACTCACACATTCGCCGCTTCGTCGCTCATACACACGTGCGCACGCACTTCTCTCCCGCGATTATGCCGCCTTGCCATCTGACACTATGATTTATTCTTATGCAAATATGTGTGCAATCTGCATAATACAGTGATGGTACACATTTGCAAAATTTGTATGGTATCGTGATTGAAACAATCGGTAATGTCAATATTCTATATTTACCACCTAGCCATTCACCTGTTACTGCACCACCTGTCTACAGTTACTAAAAGTGAGTGATACAAATTTTAAAAATGTCGATAACGTAGAGACGATCGTCACTAACACCCCAGTAAGCAATCTGCGCGCAGACTGACGTCAGACTGTCGACAGGATCTGTCGACAGATCCATAGACATCTGCGTCCCCAATCTGCCGCCAGACTGTTGACAGGGTCTGCGAACAGACTCTGACGGCAGACTGCGCGCAGATCCTATCGTTTCCTAGGTTCTTCAATTAAATTTTCTCATGATTTTTCATAATTACTCATAGAATAAGCGCTTTCTCATAAATACTCATATAATACTATGAAAAAAAAGTTTTTCATCATTATTAATATTACTTTTTCATCATTTTTAATGATTTTCTCTGGTGAGATTCGAACTTGAACTGAAGACATCTTTTGGATAATAGTCCGTCGCCTTAGACACTACGCCAATTCCTCACTTGATAAAAAGCGTTTTGTATTGCCCACTTAAAGTTTAAGGAAGAAAAATTTTATAGTTTGTTCGCCTTTTAAACCGCAAAATATAGACGAAACCGTTTAGCGTATAAATAATGTAAGAGAGACCGGCACGATAATTCGAAATTAATTTTTTACCAAGGACTGTATAGAAAATTACTGCAATAAAACAGTAGATAATGACATTTTTCCATCATGTTAATAAAATACTGTACTTTTACATGTACGAATTAATTTGGTCGATCGTCCCGTTCAGATTGTATTAAGTTTTATCAAAATCGAAACATAATATATTTTTAAATAAACCATCAAAAAAATTCTGTAAAAGTTATTTACATCGCGAGACTAATATTTTATTCGGTGCTGCTGCCTTCAGTACTTATTGCATGACGGTTAAATCGTGCAGATTTAATGACATAACGACATTAAAAAAAGTAATAAGATGAGAAATTGTATGAAAAATTACGAAAACAATTTTTACCAGGGATGACATATGTACGTTATTAAATGGGGGGCAGTTTCACATGTAAAACTGCTGCAGAGGAGTTAAGATAATTATATTGTGCAATAATTATACACATATACAATAAAAAACAATGTTTACATTTTAAAATTGTATTACACATTTTTTATAAAAAAGTAACAATAATAGAGAAATAACGAGTACAAGTATAGAATAGTACAACGATTAAATGGCCATTTAAAGGCGTACATACGAGTCATCCCTGATAAAAATTGTTTTCATAATTTTTCATACAATTTCTCATCTTATTATTTTTTTTAATGTTGTTATGTCATTAAATCTGCACGATTTAACCGTCATGCAATAAGTACTGAAGACAGTAACACCGAATAAAATATTAGTCTCGCTATGTAAATAACTTTTACGGAATTTTTTTGATGGTTTATTTAAAAATATATCATGCTTCGATTTTGATAAAACTTAATACAATCTGAACGGGACGATCGACCAAATTAATTCGCACATGTAAAAGTACAGTATTTTATTAACATGATGGAAAAATGTCATTATCTACTGTTTTATTGCAGTAATTTTCTATACAGTCCTTGGTAAAAACTTAATTTCGAATTATCGTGCCGGTCTCTCTTACATTATTTATACGCTAAACGGTTTCGTCTATATTTTGCGGTTTAAAAGGCGAACAAACTATAAGATTTTTCTTCCTTAAACTTTAAATGGGCAATACAAAGCGCTTTTTATCAAGTGAGGAATTGGCGTAGTGTCTAAAGCGACGGACGATTATCCAAAAGATGTCTTCAGTTCAAGTTCGAATCTCACCAGAGAAAAATGTTGAAAAAATAATATAGAAAAACTTTTTTTTTCATAGTATTATATGAGTATTTATGAGAGAGAAAGCGTTTATTCTATGAGTAATTATGAAAAATCATGAGAAAATTTAATTGAAGAACCTAGGAAACGACAGGATCTGCGCGCAATCTGCCGTCAGAGTCTGTTCGCAGACCCTGTTAACAGTCTGGCGGCAGATTGGGGACGCAGATGTCTATGGATCTGTCGATAGATTCTGCTCGGATTCGATAGATCCTGTCGACAGTCTGACGTCAGTCTGCGCGCAGATTGCTTACTGGGTATGGATTGCAGCAAAATTGCAATCTTGCACATTGCAATCCAATATTGCAGAGACATTGCTCGGTTATGGCATTGCAAACTTTCTAATAGCAACGTTGCAGCAAAGTTTCAGAAACATTGCAAAAATATTTTATATTCAACTGCATTAAATGAACATCAAAAACAGGGTGCGGCGCCAAAATCCGGACAAAATTCAATTTGAAATTCTCGCCGTTCTATACCACTGGTAGACATCGCGATTAGTGTTCAAATAGCTTGACGCATGTACTAAACCATCATAACCTCGAAACAGTCGCAATGTTGAAACCAAGTGCGGAGTATAACCGAAGAGCCGCGATTATCGAAAGTGTTCGCGCTGGGCGCTCGGCGACAGAAATCATTCGGTTCTTCGGGTACCCGAGATCGACTGTGTATGATGTCATCGCATACTCAGTACAATGAGTCGGAGAAGTTCAACGAAGGTTTTGCAACATCATCCAGTGAGGGTGATGTCATGCCACCGCATTTCTTTAACAAAAGGGAAAATGTCACAAAAGAAGTTTATTTGTGTGTTCTGACAAATGTAGTGAAGCCGTGGATGGAAACTGTGTCGTCTGGAAAGTCGTATGTTTTCCAGCAGGACGGTGCGCCCGCCCACACAAGTCATTTGGTGCAAAATTGGTTGTCGAAAGAATTCTGGTCTAAATTGTTTTGGTCGAAAGAATTCTGGTCTCTCAACAACCCAGATTTGAATCCTTTGGACTTCTATGTATGGAGCGTATGTAAGATATCGAATCATGTGCCATCTGACATTTCATCGTCATAATTAGATGCGCAGTCGCGTGATGGAACTGCCCACCACCGCACGATATATATAACCACGTACGGGCAAGGAAAAGGGGCAGAGGGACAATAAACACGAACCGTAGCGAGATCCAATCAAGAGAGACGTTCTCATATATTGTAAAGCAACGGACGAGTTAAAACCTGCAAGGTTAGATAAATCGGACCTTTGTGTAAAAGGAGATGAATCCTCAAAGGTATTAGAAATTGCAAAGCAAAGTATCGTATTGTAGAATTACACCAGCCATTTGAGTTGTGAAAAGTGTTAGCGAAAGGGAAGTTTGTAAAACGACAAGAAGTCTTGGGCAAGGAGGAATTATCAGCAACGATATTGTAATAAATCTATCGTTATTCAGACAAGGACATACGATAAGTTATTGTTTATTCACCTGCTCAACCAAGGTCATCCAAACAAAAGTGTTCACCTTTTATACGTAGTTGAAAGGATCACGAGCAAGTCCAGACATCCAAACGTCGCATCATTGAGAGCCGCTATTGAAACGGCATTCACTGATATGGACCGTAACACATTAAAGCGCGCCTGCGCACGCTTCAGACCGAGAATGGAGGCGGTCATTCAAGCAAGCGGGGGATATATTGAGTCTTGGGCAAGGAGGAATTATCAGCAACGACATTGTAATAAATCTACCGTTATTCAGACAAGGACATACGATAAGTTATTGTTTATTCACCTGCTCAACCAAGGTCATCCAAACAAAAGTGTTCACCTTTTATACGTAGTTGAAAGGATCACGAGCAAGTCCAGACATCCAAACGTCGCATCATTGAGAGCCGCTATTGAAACGGCATTCACTGATATGGACCGTAACACATTAAAGCGCGCCTGCGCACGCTTCAGACCGAGAATGGAG